GACTGCCCAGGAATCAGGTAGCTCTGGGGGACTTAGTAGCAGGAACAGCTCTACAGCTTTTCCTGAGCACTTTGCTGAAATGAATGAAGTCTAGTTCAATATTCTCTTCTCATGTCATCTCATTCACCATTTGAAATCCTAGGAGAAAGAGTGTAATTGTTCATGATTAGGTCTCACCCTGGGCTGAACTCAGGTAATGACAGGAAGAATCTAGTGGAAGGAACTTACAAAGACATTTTAGCTTTCTTGTTTTTCTTTTTGGTGGCTGGCTGGTACCAGGATCCGAACCCTTGATCTTGGTGTTAAAATACCACACTCTAACCAACTGAGCTAACCAGCCAGGCTCCCATTTTAGCTTTCATACTGAGAGGGAAAGGTGCCTACTTTTACAGTGCCATCACGTTTGCACTCATTTGTGGAGATATAATCCCTCAAAAGGAAATTAGAGTCCTCTTATCCCAGAGGAATGATGCTGGATGAAAAAATTACAAATTCTCACCTTAGGTTCTACATTATAAAACATGTAGGATGCCACAAAGCAGTACTCAGATGAAAAGTATAATTGAAATAGATTTACCTAGGGCCAGCCCGGTGGCGCACTGGATAGTGCGCCGCTTGGGAGCGCGGTGGCGCTCCCGCCCGAGGGTTCGGATCCCACATACAGACCAGTTCCCGCTCACTGGCTGAGCGAGGCGCGGGAGCAACACCGAGGGTTGCAATCCCGTTGCCGGTCCCCGGTCCGGTACGGGGGCAACACTGAGGGTTGCAATCCGTTGCCGGACACGGAAAAAGACAATAGACAAAAAAAAAAAAAAAGAAAAGAAATAGATTTACCTAAAGAGCAAGAACCGTTGAAAATAAGTGAACTAAGGGCCGGCCCGTGGCTCACTCGGTAGAGTGCGGTGCTGATAACACCAAGGCCCCGGGTTCGGATCCCATATAGGGATGGCCGGTTCGCTCACTGGCTGAGCGTGGTGCTGACAACACCAAGTCAAGGGTTAAGATCCCCTTACCGGTCATCTTTTAAAAAAAAAAAAAAAAAGAAAAGAAAATAAGTGAACTAAGATTTCAACTCAAGATAGTAGAAAGAAAATATGAAGATAGGCTCAAAATACGAGGGATTATTAAAGATAAAAGTAGATATTCATCAAATAGAAAAAAAATTAATGAGCAATTGACTAATAAAATTAGAAACTGGTTCTCTAGGGGCCGGCCCGTGGCTCACTTGGGAGAGTGCGGTGCTGATAACACCAAGGCCACGGGTTTGGATCCCATATAGGGATGGCCGGTTAGCTCACTGGGTGAGCGTGGTGCTGACAACACCAAGTCAAGGGTTAAGATCCCCTTACCGGTCATCTTTAAAAAAAAAAAAAAAGAAAGAAACTGGTTCTTTAAATAGTTCAGTAAGATAGACCAATCTTTGGCAAGTTTGATGAAGACAGAAAGAAGAAGGGGGGGACATGATAGGGAGAAAGAAAGAGAGAATACAAATAAACAATATTGGAGTCATAATTATAGATAAGGAGATTTTAACAAGTGATGAAAGTATTTTGGCTTTTTCTGTTGTTGACCTTTTTTTTGGCAGCTTGCCAGTAAGAGGATCTGAACCCTTGATCTTGGCGTTACCAACACCATGCTCTAATCAACTGAGCTAACTGGTTAGCCTACAAATGATAAAAGTATAAGTGTTCAACCTTATACTAATAAATTTGAACATCCATATGAAATAGGAGATTTTATTGGAAAATATAAATGACCAAAATTGACTCAAGAAGTAGAAAACTCAACAGACCAGTCATTAGGAGCTGGAAAGGTATTCAAAGAGCTATCTCCCAAATGACGTCAGGTCCAGATGGGTTTATAGGTGAATTCCACCAGTCTACATAGATCAGAAAATCCCTGTGATCTATAACTGTCCCAGAGAATATAAAGTCTTCCAAATTATTTTGCAAAGCTAGCACAACCCTGATCACAAAACAAAATAAAATGAACACGCAGACAAAACCTCCAAAAGAAATCTATAGGCCACACCTATTTTTTAATTTAGATGCAGAAGTTCTAAATAAAATGTAAGCAAATCAACCCAGAATTATGTTAAAAGAATAATTCATAATGACCAACTAGGGTTAATTCTAAGCATTCAAAGATGCAAATTTGAAAATGTGCTAACATAACTCAGGACATTGACATCTGAAGAAAGTAAAACATTGATCACTTCAGTAGGTTCCAAAGCATCTGAGTCTTTTTTCTATATTTGGAAAATCCTTCAACTCAGGAATCTTTGGAGAGGCAGAATATGCTTCCCATTACAGAAGCTGAAAATGCCAGATACTTCCTTTTCTAGACTCTCCTGCAGCTGGGTCACAGGCACATGACCAGTTAGACCCACACCCAGACTTTGAATAAGAGCAAGTATCACAAAGGAAGGGGTTGGCTGGTTAGCTCAGTTGGTTAGAGTGCAGCCTTATAACACCAAGGGCACCAGTTCAGATTCCCAGTACCAGCCAGCTGCCAAAAAATAAAAAACCAAAAAGCAAAAAACCCAAAGGACTAGGAATAGTGCATAATTGTCTCTGCAGAGAGGAGGTTGTGGTAACAAAGGGTTTCTGGCTCAGCAGCTGGAACCATGCAAGCTTCAGTCTTGCAGCAGGAGCAGAGCTCACCAGACTGGTTCTGCAGCCTGGTTCTGGACAGTGTTCCTGGCTGCATAGTCCTATGTCTGGTTCTCCAAGCCTCACTATCTGTGAAGTAGCTCATGTATTTTTAACAAATTCCTTTCCAGCCTAAATTAGCCAGAACATTTTCTGTTGCTTACAACACTGCTCACACCAGTGCAGTCAAAATCAACAGCCTCAGGTTCTTTTTTTTTTTTTTTTTTTTTAAAGATGACCGGTAAGGGGATCTTAACCCTTGACTTGGTGTTGTCAGCACCACGCTCCCCCAGTGAGCCACGGGCCAGCCCTATATGGGATCTGAACCCGTGGCCTTGGTGTTATCAGCACCACACTCTCCTGAGTGAGCCACAGGCCAGCCCAACAGCCTCAGGTTCTTACTCAGCATCATGGCTTCTCTCTGTGCAACGTCCCACCTCACTTCCTGGTACTAACTGCCTCATTTTCTCCACATTTTCCAATACCTTTTGTAGCTAGAAAATTATATAAATAGCAAGTCTATGGATTAACTGCATCTGGCTCAAGTGTCCAGTCACCAGCTGTAAGCAGTTAGGAGCAGGCTCATACAGTTGCATGGTGCCCCTTCTGGGGAACAGCAGGTGAGTATTTTCATCATCTTCTAATGATGGCAGTGGACCAACAGATGTGGTGGCTGACTTTCCGAAACAGACTCCTAACCTGGCCTTAGGAAGTCAGAAAAGGCTTTCCAGACAGGCCGCCAGTGGCTCACTCGGGAGAGTGTGGTGCCGATAACACCAAGGCCACAGGTTCGGATCCTGTATAGGGATGGCTGGTTAGCTCACTTGGGAGAGCGTGGTGCTGACAACACCAAGTCAAGGGTTAAGATCCCCTTACCGGTCATCTTTTTTTTAAAAAAAAAAAAAAAAGAAAGAAAGAAAAGGCTTTCCAGAGGAAGAAATTCTGAGCTGGAACTTGCCAGATAAGTAAGAGTTAGGCAGAAGAAGGAGAAAGTTCAAGTGCAGGAAAGAGAATGATCAAGAGTGAGGGCAGAGTAGCAAAAACTGGGGCTGGACAGATAGGCAAAGGTCAGATCTCACAGGACCTCGTAGGCCATGTTAGGGGCTTTAGACTTCCTGCTGAGAGGTATAAGGAGCCATTGGTGAGCTCCAAGCAGTGAAAGTGGAGCAAATTTGCAGTTCTGAAAGACCATTCTGGCAGAGAATGGAGAGAAGGAAATCAGAAAGTTTGTTGAGGGCCGGCCCATGGCTCACTTGGGAGAGTGTGGTGTTGATAACACCAAGGCCCCGGGTTCGGATCCCATATAGGGATGGCCGGTTAGCTCACTTGGGAGAGCGTGGTGCTGACAACACCAAGTCAAGGGTTAAGATCCCCTTACCGGTCATCTTTTAAAAAAAAGAAGAAAGAAAGAAAGAAAGTTGGTAGACCAGCTAGGAGGCTTTTGCAGGGAAGTATTAGAAGACGGTGCCCCGGACAAGGAATGGGGGCGGTGGGGATGGAGAGCAGATGGAGAGACCGGAGGTCAAATCAGCAGGACTGGTGGTAGGTTGGGTGTGGGGATGAAGGTGGGAGGAGGTAGGGGTGACTCTCAGGGGTTTTGTTTGTACTGACTGAGTCAGTGAGTGGATGTTGGTACCGTTCACCAGGTTGAACAACTCAGGAGAATCTGTTTGGAGAGAGATGATGAGCTCAGTTTTGAAAATATTGTTTTAGTGCCTGTGGGACACCCAAGTAGAGAAGCCCAAAAGGCAGTTGGACGTATGTGTTTGGGTCTCAGGAGAGGAGTCTGGACTAGAGATGCAGATCTGAGAGTCATTGGGGTCTAAGGGGTTGAAGGCAAGGGAATGAATGAGGATAGTCTCAGGTGGTTGTGGAGCATAAGAAAAAAAGGGGGCCTAAGAACCAACTCTGGGGGCAGGTAAATTGTTCAGGAAGGGCAGAGGAAGAGGAATCCACAAAGGAGGTTGAGAAGGACCAATCAGACGGGTAAGAGGAGAACCAAGAAAATTACAGCATCTTGTCTGACAGAGGCCAAAGGAAGATTCCCAAGGAGAGAGCGGCCATGGGTGTGCAGGCTGCAGAGATCAAGTGAGATCGTAATGGAGAAGTGTTCTGTGGTTGTAGAGGAAGGGAGGGCACCTGACCTCGGCGAGAACTGAGTCAATGGAGTAGTGAGGGGAAGAAATCAACCTAGAGTGCAGTGAGAAGGCAGGGGGAGGTGAAACAGGAGAGAATTAAAATTAGGCAACTCTAAAAATGCAGCCGTGAAGGGGGGAAAGGGTGGCATCCGGAGAGGTTGGTAAAAGATGGATGAGAGGGGGTGGAGGAATTCACTCCTGATCTCCCCAGTGCAATAGGAAAGTTGGAGAGAGAAGAGCCAAAAGGAGGGCTTGGGGGAAAGTTGTGGACGGAGGTGATAAGGGCCTGTGTCCAGGAGGGAGACTGTTCCCCGGGTCCCAGGAGCCCCTATCAAGCTGGCATTTCCTCCCCATCCCCATCCCCTTCCTGCCACTGGCCAAGCCCTCCCTGGAGCTGGAAGAGAGAAGGACTGAGTCACACCCTGGAAGAAGCTCTGTGCCTTCGGAGGTCTTTCTGCCTGCCTGTAAGCTGGGGTTGGGGCTGGGGGAGAAGGGGGTCTGAGGGAAAAGTAAGAGCTAAGAGCTCGGAGCTAGTAGCTTAGGCTTTGGGAACAAGGGTGGGAGAAGGGAGTAGAGAGGATGGCAGCAGGCATGGAAACAAGTTTCTGGGAGAGATCCTGGGAGCTGCCCAGGGAATGTGGGGACTGGTCCTGGGGGAATGATGCTGGGGACTGATGGGGCATCCACTCACCCCCTCCTGCCCCCCACCCACAGGTCCCCATGCCTCTCCTCCTCTTGCTGCTCCTGCTGCCAAGCCCCTCACACCTCCAACACGTCTGTGAGGTCTCCATAGTGGCCAGCCAGGTAGAAGTGAACTGTGATGAGAAGAAACTGACAGTACTGCCTCCAGACCTGCCAGCGAACATAACCATCCTCCACCTGGGTAAGAACCCTCTGGAGACCTTCTCCACAGCTTCCCTGGTGACTTTCACTCGCCTCACTCGGCTGTACTTGGATAGAAGCAAGCTGGCCAGTCTACAGACTGATGAGACGCTGCCGCTGCTGGAGACCCTGGATCTATCTCACAATATGCTGAAGAAGCTGCCCTCACTGGGGCAGGCACTACCTAACCTCATTACCCTGGACGTCTCCTTCAACCAGCTGGACTCATTGTCTCCTGGGGCCCTGGAAGGCCTGAACCAACTCCATGAACTCTCCCTGCGTGGCAATAACCTGGCGACTCTGCCCCCAGGGCTCCTGGCACCCACAACCCAGCTGCAGAAGCTCAATCTGGCTGACAACAACTTGCATGAGCTGCCCCATGGGCTCCTGGATGGGTTGGAGGAACTTGACACCCTCTACCTTCAAGGGAACATGCTGCGCACGATACCAAAAGGCTTCTTTGGGAACCATCTCCTGCCTTTTGCCTTTCTTCATGGCAACCACTGGCAATGCAACTGTGAGATCCTCTATTTCCGTCGCTGGCTGGAGAACAATGACAACAATGTCTACATATGGAAGGAGGGTGTGGATGTCAAGGCCATGACCCCCAACGTGAGCAGTGTGCAGTGTTACAATCTGGACAATATCCCCGTCAGCAGCTTCCCAGGGAAGGACTGCCCCACCCTCGGTGATGTGGACAGTGCAGAAGACTATGATGTCTATTCAGAAGTGGACACTGAGGGTGCTAAGTTGTCTATCCCTGGGACGGTGGTCAAGTTCTCTATCAACACCGAAGCTCACACAACCCACTGGGGCCTACTCTATCCACAATCCACTGCTTCTCTAGACAGCCAAATTCCCTCCTTGCTTCCGACCCAAGAATCCACTAAGAAACAGACCACATTCCTAACCAGATGGATCCCAAATTTCACCATGTTCCCGGCTACCAAGGAATCCATCCCATTCTCCAAAACCCCGAAGCCCACCACAACCCCACAGCCCACCACAGCACTGACTACACCAGAGCACACAACCTCAACCACCCTGGAGCCCACCACAACCCCAACCACCCCAAAGCCCACCACTAAACCCACCACAACCCCAACCACCCCAGAGCCCACCACAGCACCGACCACACCAGAGCACACAACCTCAACCACCCTGGAGCCCACCACAACCCCACCCACCCCAAAGCTCACCACAACCCTGACTACCCCAGAACACACAACCTCAACCATCCCAGAGCCCGCCACAGCCCCAACCACCCTGGAGCCCACCTTACTCTCTACTACCTTAGAATCCACCACAATGTTCATCTCTAAAACTGCCAACACTTCAAAGGTCCGTGGAATGGCTCGAAGGAATTTGGATAGCTTCAGAACTGACCCTTTCCTCAATCCTGACTTGTGCTGCCTTCTCTCCCTGGGCTTCTATGTCTTGGGTCTCCTCTGGCTCCTGTGTGCTTCTGTGGTCCTTATCCTGCTGCTGACCTGGGTTCAGCATGTGAACCTACGGGCCCTGGACTCTGCCCAGCACGCTGCTCTGGCCACAGCCACGCAAACCTCACATGTGGAGGTGCAGAAGGGAAGGCAAGTGACAGTGCCCCGGGCCTGGCTGCTCTTCCTTCAAGGCTCACTCCCCACTTTCCGCTCCAGCCTCTTCCTGTGGGTGCGGCCTAGTGGTCGTGTGGGGCCTCTCATAGCGGGACGGCGGCCCTCAGCCCTGAGTCAGAGTCGTGGTCAGGACCTGCTGGGCACAGTGGGCATTAGGTACTCTGGCCACAGCCTCTGATGGTGGGAGGTCCAGGGACCTTGAGAAAGGCTCCAGTGAGGTTTTTATTGGGGTCTAGTGGGGGTGGGTGGGTAAGGAGCATGCGGTCATAGGGAGGTCTTAGTTACTTTTCCTTTATGAGAAGCCCCCTCTTCACACCACAGGCACACAAACTCAGACCCAGCAAATGAGGAGGTAATGAGATGGAGGTGCTGGGGGTGGTCATAGAACAAAGCTCCCTACACTGCATGGGAGCTGCCAGACCACATGGTTATTACCAGCACTTTTGGGAAGTTTTTAGGAAAAAAACAAGTGAATAGAATAGAGCATGCGTGGTTTGCACATGCTTCTGTGCATAGAATAAAATTTGGAAAGCCATTTATCAAGATGTGAGTTACAAGTATGGGTGGTTTTATTATTATTTTTCCTCTGCTTAGCATTTCTTAGTTTTCCACCATTATTGTACATTATTTATATAATAAAAAGTAGTTTTAAAAAGAAAACGTAGTTTCTTTTGAAGAGGAAGAGTGGCTGGGCCACCTGTTACAAGAATTCCCAAGGTCCCAACCATCCGCATCCTGGTCACAACTACTCACCCAATAACCCCCTGGTCATAGCCTGCACTCGCCCTGCCCGGGGGGGGGGGGGGGGGCC